CTACTACATGGAAGAAAGAATGATGAACAAGACTTTAAACGTAAGTATATCATTACATATATTTATTTGCTTATAAATTTAACTTCAGTGTTTCTTTGGCATAGTAATGTTTGTTTTCAGTCATGTTCATTATAATAATATATAATTTTGCTGTGGTTTTCTAATTATTACAATTGTATATTTTAGTATATTGTAAAGAAAAGAAATGGTGAAAAAGATTAAATCCAACAGTGAAGAAGAACTAGTAAAACAGAAAAAAACGACAGTTAGGTTCCTCTACAATTATACAACGAGAAGAGGCACCTGAATCATCTCATGCCTATCCTACTGGGAATGATTGTAACATCACTCTATCAACTAACGAGAATAATTTGAATATTCATATTCGACAGTTCAAGGACTTTGGAAAAGGAAAATTATTAATAGTTTAGACATGTAAAGAAATATCAGTATCATCCATCTTCCAATTTTTATCTGAGGGACAAATTCCTTTGACAACATAATAACATTTAATATTTACAAATAATACAAACTGAAATATATATGGATTATCAAAATTAAATTAGCTTTCATACAAGTTAGTGTATAATTGTTGTTATACTTCTGTTGTTATAAGATTTACAAAAATTTAGTAAAGTTCATTGGAGTAACAGGAATAAGTTAAAGTCATAACACATTATCACATGGTTGTCCTTAAGTTACAGTTAATTAAGTTTTTATATTAAAGAATAAAAGGTGAGTAGCAGAGAAGGGAGACACTTTTACAATAGTTTTGTGATATCAATGAAACTATTCTTTTGATGGTAAATTGGTGTACAACATTGAACATATTGTCACTACAGCATTATTTCTGCCAGTGAAAAGAAAAAGTTAGGGACTGAGTGTCTGACGACATCCTCGAGGTTTCAGGCTAAGTAAAAGAAGCAGACAAACACCAAGATAACCAGAGTTTCCCTTCCAACAGACCTACAAAAAAACAACAACATATATTCAATTTATACTAAATTTACGATGATTTTCTTAAATTTCGTCTGAACATACAAGTCCATCGCTGATGGAGGACCTAATGACAATATATGATTATGTAGAGTTTGAATCATTTATTTTCAATATTGAGTATAATATAGATACATAGAGACAATGTATTATAATTGAATTTTATTTTAATAAAAGTTTTCTGCCTCTTCTTTCTAACCAATGAGGTCATCATCCTTTGTTTATAGAAACAGTCTGTATTGGTGTGACCATGTGAGGATATTTGTATTTCACACATTTAAGTAGATATTAAAAGTAAACTTGAATCGAATAAGTCTTTCATTTATTATATTTAATTGTAGGAGGACGATAAAAGTAAATTATTGGTTATAATAACTGTCTCATTCAAATAATATGTATGTTTTACTTGAAAGTGAAACAATAAGTGTCCTACATTGTCTGAAAGAAGCTATGAACACTTTAGAATCGTATTCCATACTTTCACAAGATTTGTGTACCCAAAGAAGATTGGAGGTGTGACAATCTAGAAGAGTTATACAATTTTAATTTTCTATAGAAAATGGATGGATAAACAGTAAGCCATTCATTTATTATTTTTAGTTGTAGTAAATTATATTAGTACAGGTGTTAAAATATGCAATCGTTTTAACATAAAATTAAACTTAGACATTGATGTCTTTATCACATGTTGAAACACTGTCACAGTATATTTGTTAAAATCCTACGGACAGTCATTAAAATAATGATTTCAACATAATTAAACATAGACATTGACTATATGTGAAAGTATAGTGTCCATCTTTGTAAAACTCGTGTAAGATAAAACTATATTATCATGTGTAAAATGAAATATTTTGTCAAGTTATAGCATTAAGTGAAACTAGTGAAAGTGTGAGTTTAATTATAGCATAATCTTATAAATAAGTCATTTTCCGTATATGTGTCTGTGTGAAATGCCAATCACGCCCAAACTATTGGGCCAATTGTACCAGAGTTAACATACAGACCAAATTGGACCTCCTTGTGAACATGGGCTATTTGGTTTTGGGCCCCTAAGTGCAAATCTGTGCATGCACAGAACTATTTCCTTAATCCTTTGATCTAGAAAACTCAGACATTGTAGGATGAAAGCTCACTAAAGTGAAGATGTAACTGCACATGTACAGAACTAACTTTTTAAAGTTTTCACTAGTCGACCTGAAAATTGATAGGCAGATGGCTTTAGACCCAGGTTGGTCATAATCATATCAGAACCAAACCCCAAAGCGTGAATCTATGCACGTGCTGAACTACGTCCTTAATCCTTTGACTGATGAAGCTATCTTTTTCACATTAAAACAATATATATATGCATCCTCCTTTACACTGCAGACTTTTTCATTTGTTTTCCATACAGATCACCTCTAAAATGCCAAAACATAAGAAGTCCAACCTCTCCAAGCAAAAGATATCCACAAAGAGAGTGACACTGTGGTGAGCAAACCAAACATTGGAGCAACGGGAGTCTCAACAACAAAAAACAAACAAACAAGGAATCCACCACAGCTGGAAGGGCTGGAGAGACACCTGAGGAGTGGAAATCTCGAAAACTTAGAAACCGAATGTTCACTGCAGCAGCTAGAACCGAGGAAACACCTGAACACGAATGATCTTGATAACTTAGAAACTGAAGGTCCAGTGCAGCAACCAGAGCCAGTGAAGCATCACAAGAAAGGAGGGAGTGCCAGGGGCAAGATCAACATGCTGCTGCTGAAAGAACAAAAAGAAATAACCCTGACTGGAACAGAGCTGCTTTAAGTTACCAACCTAAGATATATTACAAGTCCAGGGTGCAATAGGCTCTACGTCAGTTACTTGCTAAGAATGTGGTGCAAAAAAATGGAAAGGAGAATCAAGGAAATGTGCCATAGCAATGGAAAAGTCAAGCTTGACCCCTCCTGAGCCACCGAAATCCTTGGTATCTGGTCAAACTTTTGAGTCAAAGCACTTTCTGGCCAACATCAGGAAGTATAATTCTTGTTTTCAAATGACTTCTTTTGGTGCATCACAACAAATAGTGTAGCCAGGATTTAGTGCTTGTGTTAATTACCCTATTAGTACTGAAGATGATTTACAATGATTCATTAGACTATCTTACACCAGTTAATATCAATATTTTATGCTTTAAGCACCACTAACTTTAAGTTTCTTTCTTTGGATTGGAGAAGAGCAGTGTTCATACTGGCTGATAATTGTCAAGCATTTGTTATAATGTTCTTGGTATGATAAAAATTGAGGATGGCTGAATCCTGATCACTTCTGATCCAATCATTCAATTGGGTCACAATTCATTATCTATTTAACCTGAACGTTTTGTTCAGCTAGATTTTTCTTTTGTTAGCTATCAGTCAGTTGTCACCTGTAGAATACAATGTTCATGTCATTTGTCTTTTTGATAAACTCTGGTGACAAATAACTTTTAGTAGCTGTCTCAGAAATGGTCTTTAATAAAAACTGCCTTGGTAGACAAGCATTCACTATAATATCTTCACAAGTTTTACAAATTCATGTTCTTGCCCATTGGTTTACAGACTAACTGTAACATGAGAATAATTCTGTATTTATAAGGCTTAAACTACCACACAGCATCACAAAAACCATTTATTTGCATGATTTGTTTTTGCAAACATAGTGGCCAAGACATAAAGAACAGTCCCATGCATTGGACCACCTTTGGCTTTATTGACAATACAACGTGCCACTGATTTAAAAAAATGGTAATACACATCCCATGAATATTTGTACCAGTCCTTGAAGAGTTTGGTACACAGATGACTCAGAAAGGATTAAAACTGTGACATTTCAAAACATCTCAAAGATACTCAGTTGGGTTGATAACAGAGGCTGTGGTGGTCATAACAGATGTTCCAATTCCATGTAATGTTCTCAAATCAGCCCTAAATGATAAAAAGTAGATGGATGGAATCATTACCATGATGAAACATACTACCATCATATGAATAAGAGTGCAGCCATGATCTCAAAATAGTACTTGGATGTCATCAATAAAACCCTCCAATGAGATCACAGGTTCAAAACTCTGCCAGTTAAAACATTATTTACCTTCTCATTACATCTCCAATACCCTGAATTGTTTGCATGATGCCTTCAGGGTTCAATGCTTGAGGCTTTAAACACATCTAAATCCCTTCATCTGATAAAACTAAGTAAAATGTGAATGATTGGACCACATGACATTCTGGCACTAATCAAGAGTTAAATTCCAACACTTAAAGCACCAACGTAGGTAGAATTTCTATTTTTTTTTACAAAAAAGGTGGCTTGCACAAAAGTGCTGTGCTACCATAACCAATACTTTGTTGTTCCCAGCAAACTGTCTACGTGAAAATTCTTATATTCTGTATGCAATTAAGTTTGTCAGTGATCTGGGTGACTGCTGCATGCTTTACTCTTCGTGATGTGTTTACAAACTCTCTTGTTGGCAACATGTTACCTGCCACAGTTCTTCTTAGAAGTAGTCAATTTCTCCAGCAATTTCCATTACGACCAGTTTTTGTATATTGGTTAGTTCATTAACTATTTCAAATCACTTATTATCACTTGTTAAGAACTAAAAGTTACATGAACTTATAGAGTAAGAAATTCCAGTCTAAATTTAAATAATTCGCTAACTTCAGTATGGTAAAAAGAAAGTCAAGCAAAACTTGAAGGGATGAATTTGTAGCATTTTATTTTTGTTGTGAAAATTACCTCATACAGATTACACTTACGTAGTTTTTGAAATTGCTAAATTTGTTTAGGTAAAATTAACATGGATTATTTATTATTGCAAACTCCTTTATAAATTAAAATATTGCTTCTTGTTATTTGAAAATCTAAAACATGAAAAGCATTAGCTACATCAAAAAAGAAAAAAAAACACAAATACTTCTGTTAGATTTAAGATTAAAATGTTGCCCCACAGTCGATTCATATATGTTGTTCATCAATTTATTTTCTAGTTTAATATTTATATCTCATAAGTATTTGATTTGGGGTGATTTTGCGTGTTAAATTGACTCGTTTTACCAATACTTATTTACATTTGACTGTATTTGTTATGTGATTTTGGAGATAGTTATTTAGTTTTCTATTTATCCCAAAGGTATCTAAATCTTGTCTTATATATAAAAATGAAGTATGAAATTATAAATAAGCTACTACACACATAAATTCAGTAAAAAAGCAAATACTTCAGTGTTAAAAGACAATAAAACAATCACTCACTAACCACTTTCATGTATTGTTTCATAAAATACATAAAATCACATGATCTTACTATGTCCAACAACTGTTCTAACACTCCATAAGAAAAAAAGAAAAAGATTATGTCCAACAGAAATAAATGCACTGGTTCAGAATCTTATGACATTTTTTGTGAGAAACTTTAATTTAATGGAGCAAAGAGTGAAACTACAAAAACTGAATAAACAATGTACTTTTGTCACAAAAAAAATTAAGGATTGGTTTTATTTGGTTGTTTTTAAGCACAAAACTATCTGTGCCCTATCCAATAGAAATCATAAGCCTGCAGATTTACCACTGAGTCACTGGAGGTTCAATTATGGACTGCTCTAGTTAACTACATGTCCCTGTTTTCATTTCAATTAGTGTATAGCTGAACCTTATCTTCCTCCTCTAGGTAAAGAAATCATGGCAAAAAATAATTCTAAAATACTCAAGATAAAGAAACCATAGTAATACATTATTATTTTCTAGGTATAGAAACCATGGTAACAGATTATTATGTTGTAGATAGTGAAGGCATGAGAAAAAATTGTTTACTTTTCATTTGAAGAAACAATAAAATATAGTTTTGATTCTGGACAAAAAAAAACTTACAATTTTAGGCAGATAAATCATGGTAACAAGTATTACAGTGTTCTAAGTAGACAGCCATGGTTACTTGTAAAAAATAATCACAACCAGTATTTTTACAGTGTTCAATAGTAGACAAATTATAGAAAAAAAAATCTAAAAATGTTCTAGGTGGAAACAATGTTGACAAGTTCTTATACAGTTTCTACTAAATATGAATGTGTATATATTCTAAATGGTAATACAATTTTTATTATCTTCTAAATTTTGATATGCTTATTACAATAACCATACAGTACTAAAAATAATAAAAACATTAACTAGCTTAAGATTAAAAGCTTGATACTTATGCAGAAACACTCAACACAAGCTGCCTCTCACCCTTAAACCCACAATAAAAACAATATTTTTATGTTTAATATAAATGGAATGTTTCACCACAAAGATGACTTGTTCAGCTACACATATTAAACATTTTAAACAAGATACATTTAAAACTCTTTCAATCGATCTTTAGTCTCCAGTAAACTCTTACAAACCCATGTCCCTGAGAAACTTGTCTATCAACTGACAGAACCCCATAAGATCTATGATGATTCTATGAAAGTGGGGTCTAACTATAGCAATAACATTATCATTATTACGTTTTAGAAGAAGCTAGAATAATAATAAAAAATATTGTAAAGTCCTACTTTGAGACATGCTTTTGTAATTTATTTTATCGAGATTGTAAAGTCCTACTTTGGGACAGGCTTTTATGAGTTTTTTTTTATTGAGATTGTTAAGTTCTACTTTGGGACAAGCTTTTGTAAGTTTTTTATCAAGATTATAAAGTCCTTTTGTATGTTTTATTTTAAAATTTCACTTTTTCTGTTATTTTTACTTTATACTTCTTTATTATATTGTTCATTAATAGCACTAACCATGTTTTTTGTACTAACATTTTTTATAGATTGGGTTTCGACAAGCCACTTTCATAGAGGTAGCCCCCCTTCCAAATTTCAGAAAAGATAAATTTTTTGTAGCTTTGTTCTCTTGCTTTAAACAATTTTTTTTATTACAAAGATACCTCAGTGCAGTTATAAAATAATCCTTACTGATAATCTGATTAGGTTGCTTTTGTTTTTCACATCATAGCTTATAATAAGGAGGATTACTTAACAACCCCATCCAGTTTTGCTGAATACATTAAGTCAACAGCAACCTCCCCCTGAAACTTCTTCATGGCTATGGCACTGCTCATTCCAATACTGTTGTCAGAAGAAATGCTAATCTTGTCATGCCACAACAATCGTTTCATTTGAAATTTTACTCCGAAATCTTGTTCACCATGTTCATCTTCCCACACATATATAAACACATCTACGAACACCCAAAGATAAGTATATGCAGTGACATATGGACAGGGGAAGAGGAATCACACACAAGTAGTAGATACATCTCATATGCATTGACTAAAACTACACAGTTACAACTGAATAAGATTACAGGAAGACTTCTAGCAAAACTTTTAGTAAAATACCAAGAATACATAGATTTGGATATGTTATTCAGTTCACCTCATAAGAACAATAAGATTAAACTCCGGAGCTCTCTGATCTACATTGACAAGGTATTTATCTTCACTACAACACACTGAAACTGCAAGCTTCTCTACACATGTGCTTATCACAATCTACTAATTATTCATCTTTACAAAGTACAGGTCTACAGCATAATTACGATCATGGTTTAAAGGTGCTGTTAATTAGAATTAATTGGAAAGTTTAAGAATTGTGCCATAACAAAAAGTTGTGAAAATTTATAAATATACATATATATATTTTTTGTCAAAACATAAAAAAATACCATCAAAATATATGAAACTTATTATGGCACTGTTTCAAAACAATTTACTATAAATTCAGCTGATACTAAATCTAAATTTAAGTAGTAATAGGGAAACAATAATGTAGCAATGAAGTAATGAAAGCAACAAAATTAGCCAAAATAAAGTATAAGACATTTTCCTCCATCACAACAAGGTTCTGTATTTATATATGTACAATAAGATACAGAGGTTTTTTTCTTGTATCATTTGTACACAGCTTATATAGACAATGTCTCAACATGAGGAGTTAGGGACTTTCTGGGAAAGGGAAACAGAAAATACAGAATTAGAATGACATATTTGAGTCGTCCCACTCCAGCTCTCGCTCTTTTACTTTCTCAGTTTCTTCCTCGGAACTCTCTCCTTCATGGTAGCTACTTCCATCATCTGAATCACTGTCATCATTTTTGTGTGATGTTCGTGTCTCTTTCTGCTCTTCAACTTGCTGAGATATAAACAAAAAGTATTTGCTCAGTAATCAATTCAAATTTCTTCTTTGGAAAAACAGCATAATGTCTTTATGGAATGTGCACTCCTTTTGAAACTTAATTTTTCAGTGTATGTCAGCAAAACTTGAGTTGTATGCATGTTCATTTTCTTATGAATAGCAAGACAAATAATGTACTTATCGACACATAAGGGATTTATGAAGACTTTTCTCAGTGTCCTTACCATGTATTATGACAATGTCATTACAGCTATTGTTATTAATACCTGAATTACATGTTTAAAACATAATACATAGGGTCATCACAGCAAGAGTATAAATCACAAGTCATTAAAGAAAAGCTTTATGATCAGTTAACATGAACATACAAAATCAGTATCTCATGGGAGTAAATACAACATACAAAGTCATCACTTATGTTTATTACATTATAGTCACTATACTAACATCTACAGAAATAACAATGATGTTATAGCCACTGTATTTACATACATGCAATAGGCAATGATGTTAAGGTCATTGTACTTACTTCCATGGGGTTGACTGTAATTGTCAAGGAGGAGTCATCCCAGGCCATCTCTTGTTCATCATCTCTGGAACTGTGAGACCTATGGTGAGCTGCACGGATGCGAATAACTCCCAGAACAATCATGAAGGCAAGGAAGCCAACACAAACAACTATGATGATAGTCATGGCATGGCCTGTTTAGAAAATAATTTGTATTTTTCTTTTGTTAACGACTTTATCTTACACTTGATTAACTGAAAAGAAGTAATTACATCAAAATAAGAGTCAAGTGATCCAAGTGTTATCTAAATTTGTGTTTGTTTCATATTCAGACATACTAACTGCTAAGCCTACATTCTCTAGAAACTTTATAATGATTTATATTCTCTAATCCTTCAAAAACTAAAAGGAGTAAGTCTGTATATTTCTTTGTAAATATGAATTACTGTGCTTCAATCTTAATAACTTTGGAAATAGCATTAAACAGAACAAAACATTTTAAAATCTCACATGTAAGAGCACAGCCCACAGTTTCTTTTATGACTTAGCACATATAAAACCACAAGATAAGTAAGCAAAACAAGTAAATACTTGCACATTTCCAAGCATGGAGTGTTGCTAAAACCTCCATTACAAAGATGTGGATATTGATACACACTCTTAATCATTAATTTTTTCTATATCCTCATCTGAGAAACAACTTTGCACATGAAAATGTAAGATTCTGGGGTCACAAATAATATTGTGGAAACCATCTTAATGACAAGCTGTAAAAGTGAGAGTATATATATATATGGATGGAGCATGATCATGAATAAGTTGAATAGCATGGTCTTTGCTATATATTTCAAAGTTAAACTAACACAAGAAACTTAAATGTTCCTCACAAGTCATGCGTAGATGAATAAGCATGAGAAATGTATCAACATACTTGACAGTTAATACTGCTTAATATTTTGTAGCTAAAGAATTACATACTTCAAAACAAGATTCTCTCAACAGACTTAATATAACTTGTTTAGTCTAATGTTTAGAAAAACACCTTATACCATGGCCGGAAACATTTTTTCAACATTTTTGTATGTCTAGCAGACAGTATAGAGCAAATTAAAGGTATAGAACTTCAAACTGAAAAAAAAGTGAGACAACTTACAAACAACTACAAAGACATTTAACTTACTTGCAGAAGTCTTGGCTACAGTTTCTGCACTGTCCAGGAGTTTAGCATTAATGTAGCCTGACTGAACTTGAGGTTGTTGAATATCTATCTTATGTTTATTGATATGGGAATGAGCAAAAGCTATAGGATCAAGATGGTTTTCTACCTCATGACTAGGTTCTGCACGTGGATGAATTACTGTTAGCTGAAGGAGTAAAAAAAATAACAACAAAAAACATCTTATATGACTTGATTAGATGGATATTTTGACTTCCTTCACAAACATAAACACTTACTTAATTGCTTCAGCTAATTATACACTTAAATAAACTGGAGCAAGCTCTGGCTAAAGCACACATTTCTTACACTGATCTCTGAAAATCAAATCCATGTGATAAACAATATCCAAATCTTTCAGTCCAAGAAGCGGTCATGTATGTCAATTACATTCTGTGCTGAATGATAGTTCCTTTACCAAATCACTACCAACAACCATTGTAATGAAACTCAGTAATATTTGCTTTAGCTTTTCACCAAATTCAAATCTGTTAATAGTTTTTGAGGGAAGACTTGTAGCAGTTAAAAGAACTGCTGCATTTCACCCTTCCATAATTAGAAAGGAATGTATCTTTATTAAGGTAAACTTTCAAAATTTTATGCAGGTGTTCTGCACATAAATAAAAGTAGGCATCTTTCTAAATAGGATTTGAAGGATTGTATATTTGCACTACTCTTCTTGTGGACAAAAGGTCACATATGCAAATGACTGCTCAATAAGGTTTATGCTTTCTTTAACTTGTTTCTTGGCCATTGTTGCCTTGGAGTGCAGGTCAAACTCAATATGAAGGATGAGACAGAGACTTGTACAAGTTAGTAAAAGCTAGGAGTTTACTTTCTCTCAATTTGTAATGAGAATGATCTAACACCAAGATAATCTACAATTCTGGAATTCTATTAACAGAGAGCATAGAAGTCAACTACTTTAGTAAAGCCCCAATACTGTCATCATTGTGTTATTACAGAAATACAGACTGTTTACTTTTGTTTTCATGTCTGCTTTAGTCTTTTCCTTTGCTTCTTGAGTTCAGTTTATTCCCTGCTTAACTTATCCTACAATCTGCTGTGTACCATAGCCATCTGATACATATCTTTTGGAAATCAGTGTATCTGATTACCACAGTAGCAACAAACATGCTGCATTAATCAGTAACATACTATGGTACTGTAATATATTTCTCTAATCAGTGCTTCCTACCATAAATTTATGTTTTAAACAAATGTAGAAGATTGATAAATTATTTTTGCTAATTTAAAGGAACCTGGAATACATCCCAATCTGAAATAATAATAAAAAACATGGAAATAAACAAGTTTTTTTTTAAAAACAAACATAACATGAACTATCTTACAATAATGAAGCAATAATAAACTTAAGTGTATACACTAAGATATTTAAACAAGCATAAAAATTTTTAAATAGCAAAACTAGGAAGTAGGAATGAGAGCACCAAAAAAGTAAGGAAACCAGGTAGGAATGGGTGGGATAACATTACAAAACTTGGTGGTTTTTGATACAGTACAACCTCAACGCGGGTGTAGGCATTGTTCCACCCATTCCTACTTCCTGTAACTTAATTGTTCAAACTAAATGAAAGGTGTATATATAGGTAAATTTCTTTGTTGTAAACTTTGTTTCAGCAACCAAGTACACACACATGCACATAATCAAATTATGTGACCCTGACAAAATGCATGACATCATAAAGAGGGTGTTTGATGTCCAAAGTGACACAGGAAGCACCAATAGTCATACTTTGCTTATGGGAGACAACAGATGTATGGAACTGAAAACTTCACTTTCGAAGTTTAGATCATAGTTAGAACTGAGATCTAGAGAATCTACATAGTCCACATTTTTCTATCTAGCTGATACAGCTGCAGGCTGATCATGTAGCAAGTGTGCATAAGTAATCTTACACCCGCGTGTGATATGAGTGCAAGTTGTTAACTGGAAACTCACAGAGCATGCTTGTTATCATAGAAAATGGCTACAAGTATATTGTTAACTCCTTAGTAGTGTTGCAAAATGGTTATTGTAATTGTTTGTTATTACCAAGTATCAGTCAGATAGTCAGAATGACAAATTTGTGGTTTTGTGAAATTTTTGTTTTTACTCTACCGACTTTCTCATGTGTATTGGTGGCTTGTTACTTTGCAGTTGGTTTGTTTACTACTCAACATTGTGTGTGTGATTTTAATTTGTAATGCACATCTGGCCCATTCCTACTATAAGTACTACAGTACTTATGATATCTGGTAGCTACAAATAACTAACAAAGAACTTACCGTCTGTATGTACTCGTTGCTGACAAATCGGTTGTTGAGTTCAGAACAAACAAGTTTAAAAGCACGGTTAAGATAGTAGGCTGGCTTGCGATTATAGTATATAATTTGCCGTAGAATTAGCTCATAATTGTGAATTTTGTCAGCCCCTGAAAAAAAAATTACAACATTATTAATTTCCATTATTTCATTCAGAACACAGCACTTTTTCTTAAAAATGAAAAAAGATAACTGAAATAATGTACAAAATTAATAAATAATTACATTTAATATAAATTTAGAGTATTCAATTAGATAAAAAAAAAATTGAAAATGAGAAGAAATCTGTAAAACTAAATAACAAAATACAAATAAACTAAACAATAAAAACAGAAAACACCTCAAAGCCAGCCCTTATTATTCAAATATTTATCAAGCTACCCCATGAACTCTCTTAAATTTACTGCTTCCACCATATATGAAGACAACCCATTCCAAAGGTCAATTATCATGTTAGAAAAATAAAACTGTCTTGCTGAAAATAACTCTTAACTTGCTAAAATGTATATGTGTCCTCTAAACCTACCATTATTACCAGAAAGGAAAAAAAAAAGATGATGCATCAATACTACCAATCCTCTTAACAACCTTAAACATGTCATTCAGATCCCCATCAACTCTTCTTTTTTCATGCAAAAACAATTTCAGAGATCTTAACCTGTCCTCGTACAAAAGCCTTTGCATTCCAAGTGTCATCTCAGTAGTCTTCCTCTGAACCCTTTCCAACAATTCAATGTCCTTCCTAAGGTAAGGAGCCCACGACTAAACACAGTATTCTAAATGTGGCCTAACCAGTGACCTATACAATAAATCATAACCTCTACAGACCTGTATTCCATAATCTGTAGACAAAACCTAAAATCCTATTTGCCCTGTTACTAACAATAGAATAGTGTTTGGATGACTCAAGAGACTGATCAACAAAACTATCAAGATCCTTTCTTCCATAACACTGGTTATGCCCTTCAAAATTATACTCATAATTTAAATTACGATAATGAACATGTATTACTTTGCACTTATAATTAAAATTGATCTTCCATATATTTGCCAAACTCAACAAATAATCTAAGTCCTTTTGTAAAACAGCAACATGCTTCCCACAGCCAGCAATACCCAAGACCTTAATATCATCAGCAAATTTAAGTAATTTATTGACAATTCTTTCACCTATGTCATTGATGTAAGGTCCTAACACTGAGTTTTCAGGTACCCCATGTTTGACATTAATTCAGTTTGCCTGAACTCCATTTACAATAACCTTCTGCTTTCTTCCATCCAGCTACTTTTTATCCAATAAGCCAAATTATCTCCTATACCTATAAAGATAATTGTTTTAACAAGCCCTTTAAGTGGCACCTTGTCAAATGCTTTTTAAAAATCCAGATACACCAAATCCACACCATTACAATCATCCAAATAAGCAGTAACCTCTTCAAAGAATATCAAAAGCAAGATTACTTCCAAGTGAACTAATGAAAGCATGTTGACTATCCAACAAAATTATAAATTTAGTTAAATGAATTTACAAAGCACCTTTTACCAAGACATAAGACCAACAGGCCTATAATTATCAATGTGAAGCAGCATCATGAAGTGGTGTATCCCCCCCATCTTTATCATTAACCAATCATGTAGTCATTCCAGCTTATAGTATTGAAAAGCAGTCAATACTATGCAGTGAGCAAAATGATCCTAAGGAGGTAAAAGTATTTAAAACAAATTTATTATTTGTATTCTTGCCATCTTGTTATATTTTACATTCTAATTTAATATAAATAATCATAATGACTTTTTTTAAGTAATCTTATTCATCATTAATAACCTTTTTGTTGTCATTCTTACTCACCAAAGATGACTAATCCTTCATTGTTTTCTTTATGATGTACATCAAGATGCACCATTAGATTTTCTGGTAAGTGAAAGTATTCATGGTCAGGGTTTAAAGGAGGAAAAACCTGCACAGAACACTTGTCCAGTTTATAGTCTGCCCTGACTATTACATCTGAAAACTCCTCCTCGTGATGCTGGTTGACAGAGAGAGAGACTGTATTGAAAAGTTCAATGCCCAACTTAAATGCCTCATATTCCCGAGCTAAGTTGGAAGTGCCATTAATGGTGATCACAGGCAGGTCTGGCTTGAGAACCATCACATAACTTCTAACTTCTGGAACTTTTTGGGGCTTCCCACTAGAGCACCTGAATTTAAATTTATCTATATTTTAGAGGAAATTCTAAAACCTTTAGCAATTTCTAATTAAACTATGTTAACCCAAGTAAAGTTATACCTTTTAAAATACATAATATTTTGATTATACAATTTACTTGGATTTAAGGTAAAAGGATATTATAAAATTGGAATAATTCACTCTTAAGCTTATATTGCCAAATTTTTATGAAATAATAAATTTTTATGTACATGAAAGCAAATTCACTTTTCCTTTTAAACTTTGTATAAGCAATTTCTCAAGATAAAAATTTCTACTCACATCACAACAGTGTCGATGTACAGGTTGCGACGGCCAGGTGTAGGGAATTCTCTGGTGTTTAAGTACATTACATTTGACACTAGTTTCTCTAAATTTTCTTGACTGTTCCCTTCAATAGTCACTTGTGTCTTTTTAGAGTTGGTCATCAGTTCCTTCAGTTGGAACAGAAAGAAAAAAGTCAACATGTTATTACAACAAAAGTCACTATATTGGTAAGACAGGATCAAAACAATAAAGTGAACTAAAACAACTATTAAAAGTGAAGTACAGATAATGTATTGGTGAGACAGAATCAGTGGTTAATGCATCAAAATAAATGGGAAAAAAGTTAATGTATTAACAGGACAAAAGATAACAATTAATGTAACATTTTATCTTCAACCTTGGTAGATAGATTGCTCTGATTGGAATTTAATATTAATTAAGATAAATACAAATTAATGAGCAAAGTGTACATTTACTGGCAAAGTAAAAGAAAGATCAAGATATTAGCATGATGAAGTTAAAGTTAGTGTAGCAGTAGGAAAGAAATAAAAAAAATTACTGGTTTTTCATGAAAGTAACAATCAATATGTTGGTTAGACAAAAAAGAAAGCTTCTGTGATGAACATTACATATACATATCAAAAATCCCAGTTTCATTTAATTTGCCCCCCAGTGGCACAGCGGTATGTCTGTGAACTTACAACGCTAGAATCTGGGTTTCGATACCCGATAGACCATTGTGTAGCTTTGTGCTTAATTACAAACAAACAATCATCTAATTTTTGCACAATGTGAACTCATACACGAAAAAAATCAGATGATTATGTCATTCAATTAAGATATTATTGTATTATTTCAGAGACCCTTTTTTTCAACGACTATAAACTATAAAATTTTGTTTTCATATATCTTCAAAGGCCTTACCATTCCTGGTTCTAGCAAGTCAACTGGTGGTTCCTCAAGGCTTTCCTTGCACTGATATAGACAAGACAATACCTCTGGGTTTTCAGTCTGCTCTCGCAAAAGAGACAACCCAGCAAGGTAACCACGGAAGTGGAAGGCAGTCTTGTTTTCATGTCCTAAAATGTGAAGGCAAATTAATTTATCCTACTGTTTCTTGAGCATTATTAACAAGTAGATCTCTTAATTATCTTTTACAGTATCAAACAAAAAATGATGTGTTGGTTAATTTAATAACATAGAAAAGTAAAAAAAAAAAACTATTTATAGCATGAAGTTGTGTTTCAAGTTAGAAATAGCCCCATACAGGAGTGTTTATAAAATGTATGTATCACTTGTTAATTTCATATCTACTGATCCTAAAAAGTTTTAAAAATTCCTTTCCAACTAAACCAATTGCTTAATTTTGTACTTATCAGCAGAATTATTCCTTACCATGTTGTTATATGGGTTAATTTTCATACTAGTTTATCTGAAGGCTAACAAAGCAGTGACCTTATAAAGGTTGCAGGTGTCTTATGTGCTCTCATGTTTACTGGAATTCCGCTTTTTTTTAAAATATTTTACATTAGATTTTCTGATGAAATATGAATTCCTTACCAAGTTTATCATTACATATGTTTCAACTATGTAAGTTCTCTCACCTTGCCAGCAAGCACCTACAACAAAAACACTTCTGACATCTTTCATGGGATGTAAGGGCCAATCATCAATGATTTCTGGATTGTTAGCAGAAGCAGTAAACATATCTCCATCCACAAAGAGAATGACCTGAAAAACGTTGCAGTAGTATTTTTATAGTGTGTTAAACCATTAAGATTATTAAATACAAATACTAAATCAGGGGCTATCTGAAAGAATTTTTCAGAACTGCAAAAGCCATAGGTTAAAATGTGTACCACATTGTAATATCCCCTGGAGGGCAATGAGCGTTATTTTACATATTGTAGGGTCCATTATTATTATAGTTAAAAAATAATGTACACTTATTGAGAAACGTTAGTAGTTCTACAGCTCTCCAACGTTTACATGTAAAAATGCAACTGCATAAAACTCAATTTCCAACTGCACATTAAAACAACCCCTGTACTAAGTTGTCACAAACCTTCAAATGTCACTTAGCATATCTAACTATTTACGAGAATGCCTTTAACGTTATGTTAATACATTTAAATATCCTTTTTCTTGGATGGCATTATGTAAGCTTATGATTACGACACGCGTTTCAGGTGTTAAAGAAAGGCAACAAAACAAAAAAAACACACCTCAGGAAACTTTACACTAACACCATAATGATGCCACTGATTGTCACAAACTTCCGGTATCTTCCATCTCCATTCTGCAGGTCTGAAGACACTTGGTCTCTCCTGGTAGAACTCTCGTCGCAACAGGAGAATCAGTTTGCAGTTCCGCACAAAGATGGAGTAGTGATGGCGGTTGTGAACTGGAAACGGAATGAAAATATGTGTGGTCAGACTTATATAATCTGAATAAACTCCATAACTCTGAACTTCTTATGCTTTAAAACATACAAGAACTGGAAACGGAATGAAAATATGTGTGGTCAGACTTATATAATCTGAATAAACTCCATAACTCAGAACTTCTTAAGCTTTAAAACATACAAGATGTGGAAACGGAATGAAAATATGTGTGGTCAGACTTATATAATCTGAATAAACTCCATAAGTTAGAACTTCTTATGCTTTAAAACATACAAGAAGTGGAAACGGAATGAAAATATGTGTGGTCAGACTTACATAATCCGGATAATCTCGATAACTCAGAACTTCTTAAGCTTTAAAACATACAAGATGTGGAAACGGAATGAGAATATGTGTGGTCAGACTTATATAATCTGAATAATCTCCATAACTCAGAACTTCTTAAGCTTTAAAACATCCAAAGAGAACTTCTATACAAGTTTTCTACCTTGCTCTCACAACATTCTCGTATCGTAAGACGGCTTTAGTTTAATGATTTTCAATTACTTCTTAGGCTAATTATTTCTGTTTTATTTTTATTAGTATGTCACTCAACATTTCTGGAAGTTTCAATCTTCCACTAGATTTAAGTTACTTTAAAATGTCATCATGTTTGTTTATTTTATAGTAAAGCACCGCAGGGAATCGAACCTCGGATTTTAGCATTGCGAGTCCGTAGACTCAACGATATGTCGTTATGTTAAGAGTGATAAAAGTTTTATATAAATTTACACTACTTTTATTGAGCCACTCTACACATTTTTGCAAATACCACATATAGATTTTTTATTACAATTTTAATATCACTTCTATTAAAACATAATTTTGCGCGTGGTTAATATGCTATCATACACTCATTACGATTTTCAAAAAGTTTCAGAAATATATTTTTTCCCTCTAGGTGTTTTAAAATGACACATTTTTCAAAATAGTTACACCCCTTTAAATGTTCCTGTCCATTCTAAGTGTCGTTATCTCTTCAATTAATGGTTTGACTTCACATCCATTACCGTCTTTAGATGTTTTATCTGTGTAATATGTAATATGTAATAACGAGCCGTTTCAGGTTGGTAGTTTTATCGATGCAGAATATTATGGGCCGCCTTCAATTAATGAAAATGATTACCGCTAGGGGAAATGCAACTTGTAACAGTCAAGAAAATATGTCTTTGATCATTCAACCGATCCGACTACATATTTCTTCCAACGCGATTAAAAGAAACATATGAAAAATGAAGAAGATGATAAAGAAGCCATTTATTAAAACATACTAACTAAAACGCTATTACTACAGACGTTATGTGCATTGTCCATTATAATACAAGGCACTTCACATGTGCCTCTTCTTGCTCCGCGTTTTAAAAGTGCAATGATTTCTCATTATTTCCCAGAACTTTGACCTTTACAGACTTATTCAGAGCTGACGGAGGCCACCTGGAAATGTCGCTTTTGTTAAGACACGCCATTAGTGACAATCGATTGTATTAAGAAAGTCTGGCTCGCGCTGTTACAGCAATATCACATATTGAGCTGTTTGCGTTTTAGTACACCGACGCAGTTTCTTATGAACTTACACGCAACGTTGGTCGTTCATGCAATTAATTTTCCTTCTTAAAACACAACTTACAACATAGTTGGAAGTATACAATATATTTATACCTATCTGAAACTTAAAACCTGTAAACTTTAAAAAGTTCAAAGGGGAATCATTTTTCTTCATGGTGCTACAAAATTCCAAACTCATATATAGTTAATATCGCATCTTTGAAGCCTAAAATAAAGGTTATATAGCACAGGACTTGTTTCTCCTCGTAGCACTGCTCTAGCGGTAGACAGTGAGAGCTAAAGTGTGCAAAAACTAAGATAAAAGGTTGTTAATGCCCTGATCAAAAAATCACTTGGCTTTGAAGCAAAGAACATGTCGATGTCCTTTTTAACACCTTCCATACTTGCATACGTTTTCCCTTTTAAGATGGTGTTGCAGCGAACTATAGAAATGGCAGTCTGATGGTGCCATATCTGGAGAATAAGGTGGGATGTGTTAACTAATTAGAAATATGAGGATTATGGAAGTAAATACTAAGTTTCAGCGCTTTCAAAACAGATTTCAGACTCTAAACACAAAACTGTAAAGTTAGCAATTACTTCAGATCTGACACATGCGTATACATCAGTCACGTGGTTAACTTAATTATACGGTATTAGCGGCGACTGCCAGGTGGGATAAGATGCATTTTTTCTAGACTAATACCCCGCCAGCTGCTGGGTTCTCTTCAATAACTCACAATTACACGAGAAAGATGTCACGCGAGCTACTTATTATTTTCGATTTTGGGCCATTACGAGGTTAACCAGAAACAACAATAGCATTCACTCAGATGAGAAATCTCATTGGTAAGTAACTTTATAGGGGTGATTCGAAGTGGCCAAAAATATCTAATAACATGTTAAGATATTTTACAGTTCTGGTCGCTGTGACGTGCTATACTTTGTTTCTTTAATAAGTCTCGGTCACGCATTTCAAACTTTCAATTGTATTTTATCAGAAGTGCACGTTCAGCTTCGGTGTGCCCTACAGTCTAGTCAGGACAACATTACTTGGTTACTATAGAAATGTCGAGGCGCCAACACGAGACTATCAGTGTTATTTAGGGTAGCGGTGCGCAAATGTTTTTAGTATGGAGCCACTCCTTTTAAACATGCAATTTGTTGCCCTCACCCCCACCCCCGCAGCCCATATAACCTATTTGTATATACTGTACACGTCATTTTATCATGTTAACTAGTATAAAAGCCCGTCAGAGATGATGGGAACCATTGTTGAATGATTAACGAAAATTATAGAATTTAACTAAAATGAATTTGTCTGTACCTCCAAAAATGTACCTTCCCTTTTCACTTATTTCATCAGTCTCGAACTAATTCTTTAATCATCACATGTTTAGTAAAAACTACGCAGAAAAATTAAAAGAGACTTAAATAGCACTCTTGGGCCTTTTAACTGTATTTTAGTTCAGGAAGTAGAAAGCACAGTGCGAACATTCCGACACAAATTTTCAACTCTTTCGACACTCCAAAGGATAAAATATATTTGGTAGTAATAAACGTTTATTTTTCTTTATGTTTTAAGGCCAAATAGGTAATATATGTGTTAAAATACCAAAATAATATTCATTAAATAACATTTATTCACTACTTAAACCTTTTTAAACACTGACTCTATAACGTTAGTAATAGTAGGCCTATTTGTAGTCTAATTGAATACATAAACGTAACGTAAGTCTTAGCTGAAACACTACTTGGTAAATTTATTTTGGCTACAACTCAGTGTCATAAAACTTCTGAATTGAACTATATTGCTGTTATATCACCGAAATTATCAAAAAATGACTAATAAGAAAAAACTTTCTAACAATTGTTTGTTTGTTTTTGAATTTCGCGCAAAGCTACACGAGGGCTATTTGCGCTAGCCGTCCCTAATTTAGCAGTGTAAAACTATAGAAAAGGCAGCTCGTCATCACCACCCACCGCCAACTCTTTTACCAACGTCCCATTATAACGCCCACACGGCTGAAAGGACAAGCATATTTGGTGTGAGAGGGATTCGAACCCGCGACCCTCACACTGGGATCCGAGCGCCCTACCCACCTGGCCACGGCGGGCCTCTTTCTAACAAATCAGTATATGAATATTGAGCATTCAACATAAACACCATAGTTGGCCTAAGAATAATCAGGTGATAGTTTTGTTGATATGCGACGATTATATTTTTTGAGAATTACTAAAAAAGGAGCGTGAAAGTGATAGCTGTTACTATATTACTTAGTATTATTTGTACGGTAGTTTTTAAAACTTCATTATGTTTAAATTTGTACTTTGAGATGCCATTTGTATGTTCCTATGGTTATATATGAGCGGCCACCTTAACGACTCTCCGCACCCCTTGGTGGACACCCCACAGTTTGCACACCAAGGGATTTGAGGATACAACACGACATTAAAGATACAATTTTGGTGCCAAAATGAAGTTACAATATTAATTTATGGCACCAACACGAGGGAATTAATAGTAATTAGATGACAATAACACAATGCTAGTATTGTTTTGATGTCAATAAGCTATAGTGTGTTTTGGACGCCAATACGTCACTACTAATACTGTTCGGGAAACAAAACAGCATTGCTCGTTGATACGACGTCAACAAATGGCCATAATGTCATCTGAGCGACAACACAGCGGTAAGCGTGCGTGCTTTAAAGCGTTAAAATTCAGGATTCAATTATTACGCTGGGAATAGCACAGATACTTATAGTGTAGCTTTGCGCTTGAAAAAAACAACAACAAAAAATCTGTTTAGACTTTTCGTACAAAGCTTCTCAAGGACTACATGTATCCATAACAAATTCTCGGAATACTTTTGTCCGACCAAATAACGGGGCCTTGCCTCCGGCTAGTGGCGAAGTGGTAAGTCTGAATGCTTACAACGTGTCCCTCCGTGGAACAGCGGTAAGTCTTCGGACTTACAGTGCTAAAATCGGGGGTTTGATTCCCCTCGGTGGACATATCAGATACCACGATGTGGCTTTGCTATGAGAAAACACACACACACACACATACAACGCTAAAACCCGGGTTTCGATACTCGTAATACGAACAGCACAGATTGCCTATTGTGGAACTTTGCAGTTAACTACAAACAAACAAAAGAAAAATAATAGGACTTGGCGTTAATCATATGGTCTACCCACGATCACAAAGTGTGGAACATGTTTTGGCGGTAATGGGAACCTAGTCACAGTTGTAGAACTCTTAATCTTAAAAGTCACGTCAGGCCCAACAACATAAAACACAAACTAACCAATACGATTAAAGCAATCAGTTAATATCGCTATACTACAATAAAAGTAGGTATAATTCAGAATCAGTGGCCTAATTAAGTACCTAACATTACGAAGCTAAAACGCTAACTACTCTCGTAAAAAACAAGGTAATTTATGCTATAAAAGTGCTTGGTTATAAACTATTACACTCTTCTTCTTCACTTGACCTTAATCCCATTTAGTTTTGGGGTCGGCCTCTCGGATATTTTGTATAAGCCAAAACTTTTTACACTCGGGTGGCTGACTCTAAAGAACAAGCATGTTCGGTGATGAGGATTCGAACCCGTGATCCGTATATTGCAAGTAGAGCACCCTAACCACCAGACAATGCCAGGCATGTTTTAATCATTTATCACTGCCTTTACCATTTAATTGGCGCTGTAAATAAGAATAATAAAAATAATATTTTTTTTACGTCATAAAATTACCCTCTTGCAATAAAAAGCCAATGTAATTGACGTTTGTATTCCTCCGCTAAAAATCCGCTAGGGTCAATATTAGGTCAATCAAGTCTTCTCGTGTCTTCAATAAACGGAATTAGAAGCTTAATTTATCGTGGCGGGTTAAATAAGACGTCTAAAAATGATCAAACCAAAAATCTCCAACTTTCAAACCAATTTGAAAACCCAATGAACACGTATTCTCCGTCTAGCCTTCTTTACTTTTCGATGTCTATGATATTGAATGTAGAAATGAAATTACAAACATATATGATGACTGAGATGGATAACTCGACAGGAAATTAACATTCCATTTAAATTCCTAGACCACGATACTGAGTCTGTATAGAACTTAAAAAAAATGTTAATACTGAAATTAAAATCATATGTAAAAAAATCTACTAATTAATACACTGCTAATATGCAGTAAAAACTCATTTTTACATCACCATGCTGTACTTGCATATATTTTCCCCTAAAATAAAATTGGAGGATTTTTTAAAATTTACTAAAACAGCAAACAGGGGAGTCAGGCATTCAAACATTTTGAGAGGAAAATGCCCAATAATATTTAATATTGATACACCAGTTTCCTAGGTTATACACTGCTATTTACGTGTATCAGTTGTATGTTTTAGTGCGAAGTAAGTGACAGGTCACACAATAACAGCAGGCATAACACTGTACTCCAAAATATCATTCCATACATGTATCTATAAACGTATGTACAGCTTACATGAAACAATATGTATAGTATATGCAACATAATAGCTACATACAACCAGTGGTTAAACGGGGATTTTGAAAGAAGTGGAACTCCCTTTCATGATCCGTTTTGACATTCCAGGAACGCTAATGGCTTGTATCCTCAAGAGATGGAAAGCCGTTCCGGACCGTTCCGCCCCAATTTAACCCCTGCATACAATATGAAAACATTATACATGAAACATGTAAACAACTATCCTCATAAACGATCAACAGCAATACGATTCCAAAAGCAATCATGAATAACATCTAAGTTAATCGATTTCACTCGTTCTGACTCAACTGACAGCACCATCAAGTTACCAAGACGCTGCTCCACTCGTTCTGACTCAACTGACAGCACCATGAAGTTACCGAGATGCTGCTCCACTCGTTCTGACTTAACTGACAGCACCATGAAGTTACCGAGATGCTGCTCCATTCGTTCTGACTCAACTGACAGCACCATCAAGTTACCGAGATGCTGCTCCATTCGTTCTGACTCAACTGACAGCACCATCAAGTTA